TCTATATTGTCAAAGAGGAAATTTCCATGGAAATTTTAGCACACACAGAAATGAAGCAAAGTGAACACACCAAATGGATCAAGTGTGGTTCAGAGAGCATTGAGAGGAAACATACAGTTAAATAAGCAAAAGGGCACAAGGAAGCCTGCAAAAAAATTAAGACTTTGTCTAAATACTGACAACAAATAAGCAAAAGTAAAAATTAAAATAGAAATTAGCACTTATAATTTCCTCCAGAGTAGTAATGAGATGCTCATACATAATAAATGTTTAAACAAATTTAACAAACCATGCACAAGGTTTATAAACTAAAAGTGATGCTAAAATACATGAAAGACCTAAACCAGTGCTTCTCAACCTGTGGGCACGACCCCCACATGGGGCCCTAGATCAGGTATTTACATTATGATTCGTAACAGTAGAAATTACAGTTATGTAGTAGCAACGAAAATAATGTTTATGGTTGGAGGCCACCACAACATGAGGAACTGTATTCGTGCAGTTCCTAATGCCATAGTGTTAGGAAGGCTGAAAACCATGGACCTAAACGAATACCGTGGAGAGAAATACCATGTTCATGGATGGGAAACCAAACTGGATAAAATGTCAACTCTACCTAAAATTATTTTTAAATTTCAAAAGTCCAGTCGAATGTTGAGGTGGGTAAGGCCAAAAGCACTGAGCCACGCCTTAAGCAAACAAAGAGGTGTAACATGTACAGAGAGCACTCTAGCCAGGGGAAATCTGACCCATAAGCTCCAGACCAAAATATGATGACCTGCAGCCCAGAGCCAAACGGGAAGTGCCACAGCAGCTGAAAGCAGAGTCCGCCAAAAAGTACACACATAAATACCTGTGCCCTTTGTTTAATAAACGAGATTGCTCGCATACCTCCCAGAATCTGTGCCGTTGATTCTGGTGTCTGTCCACCCCCTGCCCCCAGGATCAGAGACAGTGGGACCCCAGCTGCAGAGCCAGCAACAGAATGTCCTGAAGACTTTTGTAGATGCAGACAGACTTATGATAGGAAAGCTATAGACTAGCTAAATAATTTTGAAAATGCGTTTGTCTTTCTAGAAACGGGGATCCCCCCTCCACCCGGCAGTAAGGCGTACTATAAAGACACAGTAGTAAAGATGGTGAAAAGCGTCTCAGATAAATGTGATCCAATTATTTACAAAAACCAAAAGTAAATCAAAAGAAAAGACAGCCTTTTCTGCAAATGGTGCTGGGCTATCTGGGCATCCAGAGGACAGAGAAAGAAGGGAAAAGAAAGGGAGAGGGAGAGAGAAATTTGACACGAATCTCACACTTTATAACAAACAAACGAACCAAAAACTCAAAATAGATCCTAGGCTTAAAAACATAAATAAATAATAAACTGCTTTAAAAGACCCCAGGGAGGACTCTGAGAGCTGTGATTAAGTGGGGTGTCAGCCACAGCACCAAATGCAGTATACAGAAAAAGGCGGAAGTGATAAAAACAGATCTCATCAGAACTAAAACTCTTTTCTCTGCCAAATCTAGCTTAACCATATAACAGCAGAGGAGACACTTGCAAATGACACATTCAACAATGTACTTGTGTGGAGAAGAGATAAAGAACTTCGCAAAAGGCATTTTTTTTTTTAAATCTCCCAGCAATCTAATGAGAAAAGAAAGTTCTAGGGAAGTTACACACATGTCGCTCAGGAAGTGACACAGGTGGAGAATGACCTCATTAAAAGTTGCCCAACAGCATTAGCCATTAGGAAAACACAAAGTAAAACCACCATGGGGTATCAAAGCATGCCTACAAAATGGCTTAAATTAAAACAGTGACAACTTCAGATGCCGGCGAGGATGTGGAGGAACACCAGGTTATCTGCACAGCACTGGTGGGAATGTGGCCCAGCGCCACATCTGGAGACTAGCTTGGCATTTCCTTTTCAATTAAAAATATCTTCACAGTGCAGCCCAGCAACTGCAGGTCATGGATTCCAGAGGGATAAAACTCTTGTAGGGACTGAGGGATAGCTCAGAGGTGAAGAGTACTGGCTGCTCTTCCCAAGACTCCTAGTTCAAATCCCAGTACCCACATTACAGTTTACAACTGCCTGTAACTCAGTTCCAGGAGATCTGATGCCTCTTCTTGGTTTTGCTCTTACCAGGCACAGACATACATACAAGCAAAACACCCATGTGCAAATGAAATAAAATGTCAACTTTTTAAAATTTTAAACTCATTTATACACAGAACCTTGTCCATCATCAGAGTCACAGATCCTGTATTCATAACAATTCCAAATGGAAATGACCCAAATGTCCTTTAATAAGTAAACAAACCAACATGACAGAACCATATCATCGAATACTCAGCAACAAAAAGAAATAACTACTAATATACCTAAACCCAAAAAGAATAATGCTACCTGATAAAAGCCCATCTGGAATGATCCTTACAGTAACGTTCCATTTACATAAGCCATTCATGAGTAGCAGAGATATGGAGAATAGAGATCACCCAGAGTTACAAATGGTGGGAGGTTGTGTGTGTGGTTGCAAGGATTAGCATGAGGAAGTCCTTTAGTGGTAGCACAGTCAAATGACTCCATGAAGTTCGGCATACCATTGCACAGAAATGCAAACACATTCACACATATACTTAGGCACAGATTAGTGTGTGACTGGTGAAATATAAGTTCTGTTAGCTATACCAATATCAATTTCCTGGTTTTACTTTTACACAGTAGTTTTGCTAGATGTTAACAGTCAAGAAGAATGAGGTGAAGGTGTGTGGTGGATGCCAACACTAAAGAGGAACAGGGTGAAGGTGTGTGGTGGATGTTAACACTGAAGGGAACAGGGTGAAGGTGTGTGGTGGATGTTAACACTAAAGGGAACAGGGTGAAGGTGTGTGGTGGATGTTAACACTGAAGGGAACAGGGTGAAGGTGTGTGGTGGATGCCAAGACTGAAGGGCAGCAGGGTGAAGGGCATTAAGGACTTTTCTTACCATTTCCTTGTACTTTATTGTAAATCCAAAATGATTTTAATTACAATAAGCTTTAAAAAGTGTGCATCAGCTTACCCCACAAACACAGTGTCAGTGGGATGAGGCTCTCTTGGAGTCGGTCAGATTGCTGTCATTGAAGTTCTGGTCACAGCTACTCCTGATGAACTACAGTCTACTTTCTCACCCTCTTCCCGTAGCAGCAGATACTAGACCTGTTTTAGCTCTGGCTGTGAGACCTGTGGGCAGTATGATTTCAAACGGGTGTCCAGAAGTTTCTCTCCAGTCTTTTCTCGCTTATGAAAGGGGTGGGGCAGACTAAAAGGAGTCTTGCTAGAGACATGATCATGACCGGCCTCAGCACAGTACAGGGCACAGGGAAGGACTCCTCACCTGGGGAAAAGTGAATGTCTGTGAGGGTGGGACTGAGAATATTACATGTGTCCTCTGCCAGGCCCGCCTGCGTGATTATTCCCACTGCCGGGTAACAAGCAATGCATAAAAGGGCCCATCTCCACACCACCCTGGAGGGACCTTTACACTGAAAATACCACATCACCACAGGCAGCTACACCAAATGAGCAGAAAAGCAGAATTAGGAAAGTGCTCTTCAAAATATGAACCTGAGAACCAAGTGTCCAAAGAGCACTCCTGCCCCAGGGTGATTCAGAATTCGACACAATATGTGGTGCACTGTGTTTACAGCCAGAAACACACAGGCATTACTGCAGAGATCACCTGATGAGTGCAGTTTGGCATTTGCCTTATATGGGGATAACTTGGCAGTCTCTTGCCTCCAATTGGCTGGGCCTGCTGTTATGATTGGGTGAGTGGCTGGCTGTTATGATTGACTGAGGGGCCCGCTGTTATGATTGGGTGAGTGGATGGCTGTTATGATTGACTGAGGGGCCTGCTGTTATGATTGGTGGAATGGCTGGCTGTTATGACTAACTGAGGGGCCTGCTGCTATTGGCTGAGGAATTGTTATGATTGGCTGGGACTCAGCTGCTTAGTTATCAGTAATTGTTAGTTTGTACTTTGCTTACCTGTCAAGCTGGATCATAGTTCACGATGAACAAAGACTACTTTGAGCCAAGTTTTATCACTAAACTGGTTTGGCCCATATTCATTTAACACAGTCAAGATGAAATTTATTTCATCTTAACACAGTCAAAAATGGCATAGTGATCATTACTCAGCTGAGAGCTTTGGACCACTATTGGTGAAAGTATTAAGGCGACTCCACATAGTTAAAGGGAGGTTTATTTTATGGGGTAACTCACAAGTAAAGGGATAGGTTACAGGTCCTGGAGAGGTGAAGTGCAGTCCGGTGGTGTTCTGTGGAGAACTCTGCTCGATCTACATCCTGCATCCAGGATTACCAGGAACCAAGAGAGTCAGCCCATCCGGATCTAGGGTCTTAAGGGTTCCTGTCCCAGCCCCACCTTGTAGGTGTGACAGTTACAGGAAGCCTCAATGGGGGTAGTACTTCCAGGTCAATGCTGGCACAGCTACCCACTACAGACCACATCTCACCTACAGCATCCAGCCAGCTTCCTCAATGCCTCCCACACATGCAATGCCTCACACAGAATTTCCAAGCCTTGACTGCCACAAAGATCTGCAAATCTTCAGAGGGCACTGGTATCTGTATGTCAAGCCCTTATATTGTCCAGCGAGTGGTAAAAACAATAACCTAAAAAGGACTCTGTAGCCCTTACATTTTGTCAAGACAATGTCAATATCTTAGCAAACAGAAACGATACAGGATACTTCCCTAATAAGCTAGCGGGAGGGGTATGGAAAAACCAATGCTTCATTTTTAGAAGGCCAGGAAGTGTCAGTGATGGCTGGGGGTGGGGGAGGGTCAAAAGTCTCAAGGACTACGTTGATGACTCTCGCACTGCCAAAGGCCAAACGTTTTCAAACAAATAAAAGTAATCCCTGCCCCAGCTCAGCACCTATCAAACGTGTTCAAGCCCACGAGTTCAAAATGACAGTTAAGAAGACTAAACTGGCCACTTTTGGAAGATGGAGAGGACTATGGTGTGAAGGCGGTGTGAGGGCTGTGGTGTGAAAGCTGTGGTGTGAAGGTGGTGTGAAGGCTGTGGTGTGAAGGCGGTGTGAGGGCTGTGGTGTGAAGGTGGTGTGAGGGCTGTGGTGTGAAGGTGGTGTGAGGGCTGTGGTGTGAAGGCTGTGGTGTGAAGGCGGTGTGAGGGCTGTGGTGTGAAGGCGGTGTGAGGGCTGTGGTGTGAAGGTGGTGTGAGGGCTGTGGTGTGAAGGTGGTGTGAGGGCTGTGGTGTGAAGGCTGTGGTGTGAAGGCGGTGTGAGGGCTGTGGTGTGAAGGTGGTGTGAGGGCTATGGTGTGAAAGCTGTGGTGTGAAGGCGGTGTGAAGGCTGTGGTGTAAAGGCGGTGTGAGGGCTGTGGTGTGAAGGTGGTGTGAGGGCTGTGGTGTGAAGGCAGTGTGAGTGAGGGCTGTGGTGTGAAGGAGGTGTGAGGGCTGTGGTGTGAAGGTGGTGTGAGGGCTGTGGTGTGAGGGCTGTGGTGTGAAGGTGGTGTGAGGTCTGTGGTGTGAAGGTGTGAAGGTGGTGTGAGGGCTGTGGTGTGAAGGTGTGAAGGAGGTGTGAGGGCTGTGGTGTGAAGGTGGTGTGAGGGCTGTGGTGTGAGGGCTGTGGTGTGAAGGTGGTGTGAGGGCTGTGGTGTGAGGGCTGTGGTGTGAAGGTGGTGTGAGGGCTGTGGTGTAAAGGTGGTGTGAGGGTTGTGGTGTGAAGGCGGTGTGAGGGCTGTGGTGTGAAGGCGGTGTGAGGGCTGTGGTGTAAAGGTGGTGTGAGGGCTGTGGTGTGAAGGTGGTGTGAGGGCTGTGGTGTGAAGGTGGTGTGAGGGCTGTGGTGTGAAGGCGGTGTGAGGGCTGTGGTGTGAAAAGGCGGTGTGAGGGCTGTGGTGTGAAGCCTGTTTGTTCCCTCAGTACAATCATGTAGGAGTCCAGTGAGAAGTGTGTGAGTCTAAAATCCTGTGAGTGGATGGTCCCCTTCTTACTGGGATGGATTTGCTCTCAGGGAAACTCACTTCCCTTTCTCTCTCCCACACACCCCTTCCTTCCCTTCCACTGCCCACAGGGGTTGATATCTCATGAGGCTCTCACAGGGCAGCAGGTGACACTGTAACCTTAGATTTGCTGCCTATGGAACGAACAGTTGAAAACATTCCCTCCTCCTTATAAATTACCCAGATTCAGGATTCTGTGATAGCAGCTAACAGGAATTGAGAAAAATGAGGAGCACGCTTGTTGTCTTTACAACTGCTGAGCATCTCCACAGACTGTCCCACCGTGTGGCCACACACAAAGGCTGGTACCTCTTTAGAGAGGCATTCCCAGCTGAGGACTGAAAAAGACATTACAGAATTAAAGGGTCCCTCTTCTAAAATAAGTCATAAGCAATAGTAACCATCAGAATGTATGTCCCAGACCAGTTCAATCTGAATTCCAGTCAGCTTTGTTTTAAAACTCTGGCCCATTAGTGAAGGTGGACAAACAGCACTAAGAACTGCCAGACACCATGCAGGTTCTGTGACGGCTATTCTTGGTTGTCAACTTGACTACATCTGAAATTAACTAAAACCCAAAAAAATGGCGGAGTATACCTGTGAGGGATTTTTGTTTAATTTAAAGTGGGAAGATCCATTTCTAATATGGATCTTTGAGGTGGGAAGACACATCTTTAATCCAGATCTTGGAAGACCCACCTGAATCTGGGCCACACCTTCTGCTGGAAGCCCTTATAAGGGCATGGAAGAAGGAAGCTTGGCTCTCGCCTGCTTGCTATGGCCTTGCTAGCAAGTCCGTTCCTTCACCGGCATTAGAGCCTACTTCTTTGGGATTCTGGCATATACTAAAGACCAAATGAGACATCCAGCCTCATGGACTAGACATCTATTGGATTCTTGTGTGTGTACTGAGAGAGAGAGAGAGAGAGAGAGAGAGAGAGAGAGAGAGAGAGAGAGAGAGACAGAGAGACAGAGAGACAGAGAGACAGAGAGAGACAGAGACAGAGAGACAGAGAGACAGAGAGATTTTCACTCTATAAACTCTGTTAATCTAGAGAACCCTGACTGATTCAGGCTCCTAACAGTCTCATGTGAGACAAGCTTCCCCACCCTCTTCATATACCCCAGGATCGAGTTCGCCTTTAACCCTCCAAAGATGGTCAGTACAGTCAGTCCTTTTGTCAGACTTCTTTGTACTGCCAACTCCAGTAATGACATGGAGACTTCTTACTATGAATGCTTGGCCTTAGCTTAGGCTTGTTCACAATTAGCTCTTACAACTTAAATTAACCCATTTATATTCATCTATGTTCTGCCAGCTGGCTCCTTAGTTACCTCTCCTCCATACTGTATATCTGACTCCTCTGTGTCTGGCTGGCTTAATCTCTGCATGCCTCAGATTCTTCCTGAGTTCCTCTTTCTCTTCCCCCACCCCCACCCCAGGAAGTCCTGCATATTCTATCCTGCCTAGCTATTGGACATTCAGCTCTTTATCAAACCAATCAGAAGGCACCTTAGGCAGAGATACATCTTCACAGTATACAAAAAGATTATCTCACAACAGCTCAGTCCTCCCCATCCAGCTCAAAGCCAAGTGGTCTTGGGTGCTATAAGAAGCAGGCTGAGCAAGCCATGAGGAGCAAGCCAGTAAGCAGTGCTCCTCCATGGCCCCTACATCAGCTCCTGCCTCCAGGTTCCTGCCTTGAGTTCCTGCTCTGACTTCCCTCGGTGATGGACTACAAGCTATAAGATGAAATAAACCCTTTCCTCCCCAAGTTGGTTTGGGTCATGGTGTTTCACCACAGCAACAGAAACCCTAAGACACAACTTTACCAACAAACAGCTTATAGACCCAGCAATCCTCACTGTAAGTGGAAACCAATTTCATGAATGCATTACACTTCTCGGGCTTTGCATGATGACTCAGAACACGTGGCACACCAGGGCTCCCACATGCCTGTCTGAAGCCAGCTCCCATGTACAGCTCCAGACCTAGGCAACCACTCACTCATCTGCCTTCTGGGCCTATATTTAGTCATTTTCTAGAAATGTTCTATAAACGGAATTGTACAATATGTAGTCTTTCGTGTCTGGCTTCCTTCACTCAGCATGTTTTTGAGAGAATTGGGTAGCTTTAAATACAGATGGGGATTTGATATTTCAAGGCATCCTGGATAGATCCCTCAGTAAGCACGTGGACCACTTTTCACTGTGATTTCTCATCTTCCACTTCCTGATGGTGTAAGAATGATGCTTGTTTTGGCTCCTCTTGAGCCCAGCTTAGTCCCAAGGGTGGTGTGTATCCAGATCCACATGACATGTTTGGCTCTGCTGGGGCAAAGATGCTGGAGCCATAGTTCTCATCCCATCTTTCTTGATGGCCAAGGCTTAGATATGTCTTCTCCCCAAAGATGCTGAAAAGTTGGGACCTAACATGGGAGCTTTGAAGTGATGGAATCCTGAGTGATCAAGTCAGGTGCTGAGGCTCCACACCCAGAAGAGATCAATGCTGATTTCATGGGAGTAGACTGGTTCTCACTCGTGTTCCCCCTCCACTGTACACACACTGCCCCTCTCCCTGTGTAACTTGGCCCTTAACCTCAGTGTGCACGTGGCCACTTTCCTCAGTATGTACACGGTACCTCTCATCAATGTGTGCACATGGCACCTCTCATCAGCGTGTGCATGGCCCTTTCTTCCTGTGTGTCCTCTCTTCCAGCTGTCCTTCTGTGAGGTTTGTGTTCCAGTGTTCTTTTACTATAAGGACATCAGGTGAGTTGGCTGAAGTCACTGTGGTGACCTCATTTTTAACTTCATTACCTCTTTAAATACCTATTACCAAATACGACCACATTCTGTGGTATTGGGTCTGAGACTTCAGCAGAAGAACTGGTGGAGAACATGGCTTAACCTTCTCAGGGACAGATGACACCATGTTTTTTGCTTTTATGTAAATTTTTCTGCGATGGAAAGTTAAGCTTAAAAATATTTTCTTAGCAAGTAGCTACTGACTGAGCAAGACAGTGCTAAGAATATTAGTGGGGCCACATGGAAGAAAGTCTTGGAAATTCTCTGACATTAAAAGGACATTTCTGTAGTAGAATCAAAATTGGGAATAACGACCAAAAACGACTCTCTTGCTTTTGAAGTCTAATGAGGTCCGGGGAGTCAGGGGCTATCTCCTGAATTTATATAGGCTCGGGTCTGATGAGACTGGAAAACCGAGGCCATCAACTCCAGGCAGAACTGTGATGTTCACAAGTTCTGGGCAGCGCTGCCTCTCTTGGGGCAGCTGTGGGCAATCAAGCTGGAGCTGAGCACCACCTGCAAAATATACTCATTAGAATACCATAATTAACTCTCCAGCAGGAGAAACCACCTACAGGAAAAGGCAGCCTATCCCCAGCCTGGAGAACATGCTGCCACCCCGGGGGCTCTTTACACTGAGCCATTAAGCCTAAGATCTGGCCCACAGCGCCACCGTTTCATCCTAGCCCATATTTGCACTTAGAACTCTAGGTTCCTCAGATCCATTAGGATAGATGGGCTTCTGCAGTTGATAAGAAATCCCTAAATCACTGTGCCTTGGTCCAATAATGATTTCTGTCTTGTTTCATCTCCCGTGATCCCAGGGCAGATGACGGCCACTTTGATGTCAAGGTGTCTCCCGTGTCCACCTGTGTTGGATGTGATCGAGTGTGGGCTTTGACCCACATGGCCAGTGTGGGAAACAGTATGGCATGTATTCAAGAAACTAAAAGCACAATGCTACGAGCCAGCAACCCCACTGCTGGATGCGTATGCACAGAAGCTGGAAGCAAAGATCCTCATCACTCACAACAGCCAGAAGTTCATCAGTGGGTGGGTGGTAAACAGAATGTGATCCATACATAAACAGATTATTATTCAGCCTCGACCAGACTGGAAATTATAGGGCTGGGGAGCTGGCTCAGTGGCTAAAGTATGTGCCATGTAAGCATGAGGACCTGAGTTCAGATCTCCAACCCCCACATAAAAGCCAGATACAGTGCTGGGAGGTAGAAATGGGTGGATCTAAGGCTTGCTGACCAGTCAGCTCACTGCATTGGTGACCTGGTCTCAAAGATGCAAGGTGGAGAGCAACATCAAGACACTCAACAGTGGTCTCTGGCCTCCACATGCATGCAAACACACACACACACACACACACACACACACACACACACACACACACACACACACGCACGCACGCACGCACGCATGCACGCACGCACACACACACACACACGCACATGTTCATCAACAGAACACACACACCAAATGAGAAAAAGGATGGAAATCATGATACATGCTGCATGGATGTGCCTTGAGGACATCACACTCAGTGAAGCAAGCCAGTCACAAACACAGGTAGGCTAGATGTCCCCAGGTGTGCCTCTTGGGCATCTACACAGCGCTTTGGGTGAATATTCTTTCCAAGTCAGATCACATCTGCCTCTTAGGTATGGCTCTGCAAGCAGCCAAATTCTGAGAGAAAGGGGACAGAAAGGTGACGGAAGGGCTGGGGAGGAAGAGGGAATCGTGCTTAGCGGGTTCAGGAGATGGGTAGAAAGATACAGAAATATCCTGTGCTGCTCACAGCTGTGCGATGTGATGCACACTATCCCGCTGGCTGTCCACCTGAAACTGATGGGATAGGAAGGGTGTGTGTGTGTGTGTGTGTGTGTGTGTGTGTGTGTGTGTGTGTGTGTGTGTGTGTGTGTGTGTGTGTGCGTTTTCCAATGGGTGGCATCTAGGACTCACTGGACGAAGTCCAAACGGTTGACATGATTTCACAAAGCCTTCCAAAGCCCAGCCTGCACTCACTGCTGTTGGTAGCTACACCCGTCTGTGCCATCTTCATCCTCTGAATGCCCACAGTGCTGTAGAACATGATACCATGGTACGTAG